TATATATATATATATATATATATATATATATATATATATATATATATATATTGGCTATACTTTCAATAGTCAAGGTCTTACATTGGCTATACATGGAACATTTCTTCTTCTTCTCTCTCTCTCTCTATATGTATAATAGGAGGTCATTCAAGAGAGAACTGATTAGTTTGTGATAACTGTGAGATTCAATCTCAACCACAAATCAATGGTTAAATTAGGAAACTAATAGTTTTGGTAATTTAACTTAAGATTTTAATTAAAGGACATTTTAGGTATTTAAATTTTTTTCTCTCTCATCTCTCCTTTTTAAGGCAAACCTTATTCATGCGAACCTTATTTTGTTAAACACATGATGCACACTACGATACCCTTCATAAAATAACGAAATAACACAGTGTGATACACTTCGTAAATCAACATTACCTGATACATTGTGTTACACTTCGAAAAACAACAAAAATACATTGTGATACACTTCGTATAACAACAAGAACACACTGTGATAGACATTATGATACCACTATGATACTAGATCTGGTTGATGAATACGATAGTGATACCACTGTATTACACCCAACGTTACATCTCCGATGATATCTAGGTTACATCCAAAAACCTTACATCTCTGGCGTTACATCTCTGATGATATATAGGTTACATCTTCGACAAGATATGGTTACCTCTCCAATCAAAATGAGATATGTGAAAAAACTAGAAACTGAAACCGATTTGGGTGTGCAGAACCAGATTTGTGCGGATATGAATAACCAAACCGATCTGGGTTGTGTTTTCTCGATTGAAAGAAGCCATCGAACTAGTTGAGATGTGATGGATGTTATGGCAGAAGCCAGATCTGTGCAGCTCTCCATTCAACGTCGCCATGGAGATGGTTGAGATTGGGGACGAGAATAGTTGGGATCGGGCGACGAGAATGGTTGAGATCGACAGCAAGAATGGTTGAGATCAGGCGGGGAGAATGGCTGAGATCGGCGGAGCATGTGGAGCTTTTGGAAGTGGGCACTAAGGGAGGATGAATAAACGACACATCATATTTATTTGGAGTTTCAGAATCCAAAAAGATTTAAGAGATAGGGTTTAATAAGTTGTAAAATTTACTAATTTACCATTTGTTTATTTTAGTAAATAACATTAATTAACTAAAACGATTGGCTCATATTGGACCTCACAGTTACCACAAATTATTTAGTTCTCATTTGCTTAGGCCCACACACACACACACACACACACACACACACATATATATATATATATATATAAACA